TTATATTTAAAAATTTTAGTTAATTATATTTGAATTTTTAGAATTTTATTCATTATAATAAATATTAATTAATTATATGTAAAAGATAAAAAAATTTATAATTTAATATTAATTAGTGGGGGGCAAAATTTACCTCCCGTCAAAAATTCCCGCGAGGATCCCCGTCCCCACCATTCGCGGGGACAGGGACGGGGAGGGACTCCCCGCCCCCGCGGGGCCCATTGACATCCCTAATCCCATGGTTACAGTTATATAATTTTCAAAATGTATAATATTTTTTTTAATTACTATTCCTTTCTTAAATTTTTGTTGGTGGGTCCAAAAATTTTACATGTAAGATAATAATGCTACATTAACTTTCAATTTGTCCATATAAGCAATAAAAATGTCCTTTTTGTTTTCGACGTATGATTTAAAATTAAAGAAAACAAATTTTTAACGAAAAATAAGTGCCACATAGATTTTGATTGGTAAAAGTTAAAAATGGTGCAATACATGGAGTTGAGAGATTAAAATATTACTAAAAAATATTTAAGGATAGAAAATATACTGTAATGGCTCAAATCTCATATTGGTGAAAAATTATAAGTGAGTTTAATATATAAGTGCAGAAATTAGATACTACTAATAATTTAAATTTAAATTTTTGAGGGTTTATAAATTATGATATGAAGAGTTATTAATCTAGTGGCAAACTTCAATTAAGTCATTTTAGATAATATTAGAACAGTCTCCTCACATATATATGGGCATATGTTACTCACATGTTAAAATATTAATTTAATCTCTTAACTTTTAAATTTGTATTAAAATTGTCTCTTAACTTCAAAAAGTACCAAAATTATCCCTAAACATTAATTTTGGTACAAAAATAGTCTTCAAACTTTGAAAATAATACCAACTTAGTTCTTAAACATTGAAGATAAGTATTAATTTAATTCTTAAACTTTGAAGATAAGTACTAATCTAATTCTTTAAACTTTGATTACAAATACAAATTTGAACTTTCAACTTTGATTATATTTTAATTTTATGCATAAATAAAAATACTTCACAATAGGAAAATAAAACTTTGATATGAAAAGTTATTAATCTAGTGACAAACTTCAACTTAAATCATTTTAGATAATATTAGAACAGTCTCCTCGCATATATATTGGCCTATGTTACTCACAAGTTAAAATATTAATTTTTACGTTTGTACTAAAACTGTCCTTTAACTTTAAAAAGTACCAAAATTGTCCCTAAACATTAATTTTGGTACAAAAATAGTCCTCAAACTTTGAAGATAATACCAACTTAGTTTTTAAACTTTGAAGATAAATATTAATTTAATTCTTAGACTTTGAAGATAAGTACTAATTTAATTCTTAAACTTCATTACAAATACTAATTTAGCCTTTCAACTTTAATTATATTTTAATTTTATGCGTAAATAAAAATATGTCATAATAGTAAAATATGATTATTTGATTTTACACATCATTAGTATTTTAAAAAAAAATTAATTTTGTGGTAAAATAATGAGTTATGCAATACTTCTGTTAACAAACAAATTTTTTTATATTGAAAATTAAAGTTTAGGGATAATTTTAATACTTTTGAAGTTAAAGAATAATTTTAATATAAATTTAAAAGTTAAAGGATCAAATTAATATTTTAACCATTTTTGACTCATGCATTTACCTATTCTTAACACCGGGGAAAAACCTAAAAAATTTTCAGTTCTTTCTTTCCGCCTCCACTCATCTCGCTCTCTCAGCTCCATCACCCCTCTATCTGATTATCATCTCCATAAAATTCTGGCCACCCTTATCACCTTCGATAACCAGTCATGAACCACAAACACCCTTTTCTTTTATAAAATTTTAATTTTTGTTTTACCCGCTCACTTTCTTTCTCTGGGCCTAACTTAGTTTCCCATGGATTCTCAACTGTAAGGAACTGATCTGAACATGACCGGAGTTTCCGCTCACCCAAACGTGGCCGGTGCTGGCTGACCCTGATCGATCGATCATGCTTCCTGTTCCGCCCTTCCCCTGACAGATGACATAACTCTGGCATTGACCTAAATGTCTTGACACTTGTATTAATGTATAAGTTATAGTACATTCCCGTGGCACATGACCAGTAAAGAGGAAACAACCATGTGAAAGCCAGCTTTGAGGGCTATAAATACCCTATCGGATTCATTACACCCTTAGTTCCCATTAGCTGCTTAGCCAACCCATACGAAATCCACCTATGTACTGATTTGGTTGTGGCTAACCTCGGGTCTTGCAGGTCTTCCAGTCGGAGTTTGTCTTCTGGAGTTGCCGTGTTGAGCTGGTCGGACTCTTGAGCTACTTCATGCAATTACATTAACCGCCGCCGCTGATCAAGGAATAAGGGCAAGCAGAGTTGGGAAAAGGATTAAGAAAACACAGATCTGTCATTCCTCAGCTCTTCCTCCAATTTTTGGCTCGCCGTGAAACACGCGTCATGGGAGAGAAGGTTCTTTATCGGCAACCGAACTCATTGCACGTAAAAGTCTCGATCTGTCATTCTACTTATGAGATGTACACCTCCAAGTACAGACGACGCTCTGCAGATCATGATATCAGGCCGCGGGATGCATTAAGGTCCATTCGGACTAATCCGAGACGTAAAAAATGATATTGGGTTGTGAGGAAGGTTCGTTTCTTGGCAGGTTTGGGAGGTTTTGGTTTATTGAAAGGTAGGCTATCTTTTAGGTTTATTTGGATAAAAATTAGTAAAAGAAAGTAAGAGAGGGGAAAAGAAGGGAAGAAAGGAGAAGTAAAAGAGTAAAGTATAATATTTTTATTTAATTAAATAATTTTAAAAAATAAAATAGAATAAAAATTTTGAAATTTGCTAATTAAAAAAATAATTAATATAAAATATATTTATATATAAAATTAATGTATATTACTCTCAACTTTCAAAAATAATTAAAATTTTAATTTATATTTAGAAATTAAAATCTTTATATTTAGAAACTCATTATATTTTTTAAAGTTTTTAAATCTAAATATTAATATCTAATAAAATAATTTTTTAAATTTTGAATTAAATATTAATTAAATAAAATGATGTAATTTAAGAATAGAATTTTAATTATTTTAAAAAATTAAAATTAATATGTATTTTTTTATATATTTATTTTTAAAAAAATAAAAAAATATATATAAAGTCAATCGCTTCAATTGAATGGGACGAAAAACAGACGAGTGAAAGAGGTTACGTTTCCCTTCATGTCTCTCCCTCTCCATTAAAGTCAATTATTCAAAAGATGAGAAGGAGGCATCTCTCCCTTTTTCTACTTCCCTACCCCTCCAACTTCCCCAATCCAAACTAAAGCTTAGGGTTTCAAAGATTGGTTATATAAACATCGGAGTTAAGGGATTAGGTTGCGTTTTTTTTACTATATTTTTCTGTTTTGCAGGCGAAAGAGTAAGAGACGATTTCCGGCGGATTCCGGCGAGGCTTCGATCATCTATTTTAGGTATAAACCTTTTGCAGAAGAGTTTGACAATCGGGTTTTGTTGAAGATTCAAAGACCATTCCGTGGGTAGGGTACCCTGGATCTGAGGCAAGATCTACATCTTAATCTATGCCCTTTTGAAAACTTGATTCTGTGATTGCCATTGATGTTGTGAACTTAGATCTGTGGAATTGCTTTTAGTTATGCATGAATAAAGATGTTTGTTACTACGAGTTTGTACCATTGGTCATTTGATAGATGTTTTTCCTCGTTCATTCTCTTTGAAAATTGGAGGGATTTTGGATGAACCAGATATCTTAGAACCCTATAACCCCAAATTTTCGGATAGAAGTTTTTAGTTTGTTTTGATCCGTTAGGTATGTGGGTTATGTTTGCGTGCCCAAGGAACTCTTTATTATATACCTTACTAAATAAAAAGAGGAGTAGGATCTGAATGAGAAATGAATTGTGTTCCCACTAGGACTGCACTAGTCTTGTGGTCCCAAAAAAAAAAAAAATTAACATAATATATAATATAAAATAAAATATAAAATATAAGTAATAATAAAATCTTAATAATTGATTTAGGGAATGATTAACAAACTTAATTAATCTTAATTGAAATCAATTAATTATATTAATTAGTCTTAATTAAAATAATTAGATTTATATAAAGGCAAAAAAGTGATTAATTATTTTGACTATTTTTAATTAATTTACGTTTAATCATTTAATTAAATCAATTATTTTAATTAATTAACCCTAATCTTCCTTAATTTACCCAATAATGGTAAAAAAGTCAAAACTATCTTTATTTAATTCTAATTTGGCCCAAACCTTTATGAGATCAAGCAATTTGGTTCAAAACTTTGATACATTTGAAAACTTGTGGCTGCTTGTTTCTAATTTGTTCAATTGAGTCCTAATGTTTTCAAAGGAAGCAGTTTTATCCATTCACTTTTGATTTTACTTAATTAAGACCCAAAAACAATTAACAAGTTGAATTAAACCCCAATGTTAAAGTATATAATTTGTCCCATCTTATGATTTGGATAAGTGAGAAATTCAATTTTCTCAATCTTTCACACTTAATTTTTTGAAATCAATTCAATTTTTAATTTTTAATTGTTCACCAACAAATTATTAATTAATTTTTTATATACTTGTAATAATTTAATTAATATTTTATATACTTTTGAAATAGTAAAAGACTATAAAACTTAGTCCTATAGCTAATAGGAAAAGAAAAACATATAGTAGTATTTAACTCATAATCAACAAATTTTAGGTATGCTTTGTTTTTACAATTTTATACGTTATTTAATAATTTTTTTTATTTTATTGAGGCCCATAATCATATTAGATGAATTTCCTCATTTAATAAATTGTGAAAATTTTAAAAAATTTGAGAAAATAAATTGCACGCATATCATTACCCATTCTACAAATAAGAATAAAAATATAAAACAAAAATAAAGGAAAAAATAAAGCTAATAGAGTGGACGCTATTGCTTACCTAGTAACAACATAAACACTCCAAACAGAAAGGCTAAGAGAAACGGGTCGCGTGAAGGAACTGCAATGAATGAGTTACATCAAGGATTCAGAAATAATGACTTTCATAATTACAATACTCGTTAGCCTCTCCAATAATTAGCCTAAAAGATTGCCTTTAATTCGGAACAAAAATTGGTCTATATGACTTCAAAATACGAACATTCGCGTCCATATTGAAGGCAAAAAGACTTAAAAAGTATAATAATTAAGTGATACTTATCGCTTACCAAGTGAGAATAAAGGCACTCCAATCAAGAGCCATACTGGATCAAGTTCGAGTAGTGGAACTGCAATAAAGAGTTGTATTCAGAAGAAATAATGAATTTCATAATTGCAATACTAATTCATTGCCTTTTATGATCTATAGCAAAAAGATTGTTTTTTTTTTTTTTTCATCAGAAGTTATTTGTTTCGCCTTATGTAGATTTAAATTCTTAATTTTCATTAATGAAACCTATAATAATTACAGGAGGCGCCAAAAATTTTTAGGGGGGCAATTAACTAAAAAATTCTTGCAGGGTCAAATGAGTAAAATGCCAATTAAAACTTAAAGATTTTGAAAATATTTCGGGGTCTATGGCCCCCTCCTAAACTGGGCAAAATTGTATTCAATCCGATAATTCGACAAAATTCGACCCAACCCATCCGTTATGAATTGAGTGATAGGTCCTATACGTTAATCCGAAATCCGAAATAATTTGAACTGAAATTACACAAACCTAAATGGTTTGAGTCACGGGTGGGTCGAGTCACCTAAAATGACCCAAACTTTATTTATTTATTTTTTTATTAGATTACTTAAAAATTAATTTTAAATTTCTAATTTCCTAATCTTAAAAGTAGAAATAAATAAAATACTTAAACCTTAACCTCTCGTCAGTTTCACTTTCTCTCAACTTTTCCTCTTCTCTACTCTTGATCTCTCCTTCTTCATCTCAAGCTCTCTAATCATTTTCTTTGGTAACACTTGCGTCAAAAATCAAATTAGGCGATAAATAGTAAGTTATGTCATATAACACCATTAAAAAGATCTTTTTTTTAAAAAAAAAAAGGTTAAAACCCCATTTTGGTCCCTCAACTATTGTATGGACCCCCAATTTGGCCCCTAAACTAAAAAAATTCCTGATTTGATCCCTACTATTTACCATTTTAACCCCAACTTGGTCCTTCCGTTAAAAATCGACTTACGTGTCCCATTACCTGATGGAAAAAGATGACAGAATGGTAAAAAAAAAAAACAATGACATGGCAAGAAAAAAACTTTTTTTTAATTATTTCCTTTTCCCTTTTTTTTTTCTTCCTTTGATTTTCCTTTTTTCCGTTTCATCTTCTTCTTACTTTCCTTTCGCCTTTTGCAAACCCTAACACCTTCTGATATTAAATCAAAAAATAATACAAACCCAGAATCTCCCCAGATCAGTCACCGCCCTAAATTCTTTCTTTCAGCCTCCCCAAAAAACCCAAAAAAATCGAGGCATCTTTTTCCAAAATTCTTAAAAAAAAAAAAAAA